TTACCACTAACCAATAAAATATTGTGTAGTAGGATAATTTAAGCAACAACAAAAAAATGTTCACCTGGTGTCAGTGTTCAAATTCCAATGTAAAATCTTAACATTGCTCAAATTAGAATGAAATATTACCAACATTCAACTTGCAAAACTGGAGAAAAGAGGAACTGCAGTGGAATGAAATACTGACACAATGGAAATGACCATACCCTTTCAAAATAAGAGCTTCTAGTCAATTTATGTTTGCATGACTCCTGCAGAATTTTGAATTAGCTTGAACTTCATGATAATGTGAACACATACCTAGTTCCACAAATTTAAACTTTATTCTCCTGTTCTCCTCATTACTTATGTATTTACCAGAGAGCCTGACTCAGAAAAGTTAAGGCAGACCTTCAGCAACTTTGTTGGTAGTTGCTTCCTTGCTTCATTCATGACAATGGAGCAAATACAATACTTTCCTAAACGCCATGTACTGGCTTCAGTCCTCCCACACTACTCATGCTGATATTGATGAATGTTCTAGGCACCGAACAAAGGAAATACACAGACCTAACAACCTGACTGGAAATAAGTCAGTTCAGCAAGGAAACAGGGATCAATATTTCTAATGAAGTGATTTCTAAAGTAGGAAAAAAAACCAGGGCAACCCTTGGACCCTGAATCTTAGAGGCTAACCAGAGAAGTAAAGCAAGGAGAGCTGTGCACAACATAAAGAGCTTCTTTTAAAATGCTAAACAGAATAGGCACAATTATTTATCACCAAGAGAAGATTTAAAGCACAAGTTTGTGATTTAAAAAAAAAAAAAAAGATAATAAAGTAGAAAGATGGACAACAAAACATACAAACTTCATCGACAAACCACAGAAGAGAGAAATTTAAGGTGAAGTGTAAGTTAGATAACTCAAGTGCACATGGAATAACAGAATGAAGACTTCAACAGAGTCATCTCTTCCCTGTCATCTCTTTCCTTCTGTGAAGGGAATGTCTCAGGTCCAGTCCACAACAGGACGTTCTCTATGTGTCTTTCCTATTCTATAAAGATAGCAGTTGCTAGAAAGAAGACGATGCGAAGACTATCCCTTCCCATATACCTCAATTCCATGTACAGTGCATTGCAATCTTTAAGAAAGCACAAAGGACTGGCTCCAGGGCTAATCTTTAGTTGACCTAACTCTTCGAAGACTACCTATCTACCTATCTATCTATCTATCTAAAGAAGTTAGTAGTATTGGAAGTTATGTAACAGAAAAGGAGAACGAGCCAGCTTACTTATTTTGGAAATACTGTTAACACAAACTGAAATACATGACAAAACTGTTCAACTTGTATTTTATTGTAAGACAAAAACATATGACCTCTTTTGACTACGAATAGGACAGATGGCAATGCTAATCCTTTCTTACCTACTTTGTAAATTATTTAGGTGTTCAGAACATAGAGTATAAGGAAAATAAGAAAAACCATTAAATTAATTAATTATGAATTTTAGATTCTAATCTATTCAGAGGGAAGTTTGCCTCTTTTCAACATGCTAAGCTTTATTAATACAAATTATCTATTAAGTTAGATGCTAATTGTAATCAGCTATACTGCTTTCTTCAAAGAACAGCCTTTAATTTAACCAGGCAATAAACAGACTTGTCATTTCTTGACAAAGTGACAAATAAGTTTTTCATAATAAACAGTATCCCTCAGTGCACCCAAATCTTAACTATCTTTCCAATTTAAGCTGTCATAAAGCTAAAAAACAAACCAACATACAAAAAACCCCACAAACAAAAACAAGACTTAAAACCTATTTCTCTATTTATAACAACTGTAATCTTTGCCATTCTATTTGAGAAACATGAAAATCACTTGGTCTTCCTCAAACAAGTGAGGCCTTTTAACCGTTCTGTAAGTTAGAATACTGCATCATTTGCAGAAATAGCCAACTAGAAAACTGAGTTGCTAAGTGTGTACAATGGTATCAACAAAAGAAATTGTATAAATAACTGAAATTATTTTTCAGGGGAAATGAGGCTATAAACTATAAAGAGGGAAAGCAACAAAAAGCAGCAAATTGCGTACCACCCACACTGAAATCCACAAGAAGAACAGCGAGCCTGCTCAGGTAAAACATCCACTTCCAAAACAAATCTAGCAAACCCAATCTCCATCAGAATCTAGTTAATTTGGTTGTGTCTGTTTAGCAAATGATATTACACCTTCTGAACACAGAGTATGCAATAATGATTTAAGTGAAATAGCTAGTGAAAATAAACACGACAACCCCCCCCACTGGAAAACATTTTTCTGTAACTGTTATCAAAGCACTTGAATGAGAATTTTTCTCTTATGCTTCCATAAATCAGTGGCAGCTTCACTAAACTCAGCAGAGTAAATAAAGCCAAAATTTAGGGTATAGTCTTCTAAAACATGTACTGAAGTCTATTCTGAGGCAGATCAGAAGCAAGTTACATAATTTAACATACATTGCACCTGAAATGCTAACAAGTGCAATGTATGAGTAACTATTCATTAACAATTTATAGGACTTGCTCCTTAAAAATACACTGTTTTCATTACAGATATTACAATACCTAAAAAGAAATAAATATACACATGGTGCCTGTCAGTAGAAAAAAAAAATCTATTTTAGTGGAATTAAGACATGCTTCTATAAGGAGTAAAAATTATGTCTGCTAGAGATGCCTGTTTAGTATTTGTGTAAAAGTTTCCCTTCAAAGACAGGGGAATCACAGCTACCGATTTACCTCATCTAATAGAAAAGTGGTGTAAAAGAGTTGCCTAGTTCCAGATGACCTTGAATGTGATTGGCTACCTTGGATGTCTCTATGGTACATGCCATTAGGAAGATAAAAATATACAGGATTAAAATCTGAACCGATAAAGCTAAGAAATTAAGTATTACTTCTTTAATAAGCCTAGTTCTTGGAACTACATGAATACCAAACTATTTCCTTACTGTTGAAGTGTGAATATGTTTTAAAATAAGTTACTGAAAGTAAAAGTATCTAATATATTATTTATATGCAAGTTTATTCTAACTATTGTAGTAAACAACAAGAAGGAATTAAGAGACATCAACAGATCTTCTGTTGTTTAAACAGAAGTTTAGGGGCAGTACACGGCAACAAGTCCAGAACTTAGATTTGGTTCAAAACTCCTCCATGGAAACAACTGACAATTATAGTCATATGTTTAAAAAAACAAATCAGTATAACTGTAAGCAGTAAGTTTCAGCTCTAAGGCTTATTTTGTCAACCTTCTTAGCCTCCATCTTCTCACTACAACTATATTATTACACTGTATTGTAACTTCACAGATTTCAGTTATAATCAAGCATTTTACACTAAATCCAGTTGTTCCAGTAGAAAAAAATGCTAAGATTTTGTGGAATTAGGATGCATTTTAGGATCACTGCTGTCTCAAAAAAAAAAAAATTATCTAGCCTTTAATTAACAAAAAACAGAAGCTGCAAAATCTAATTCAGTATCTAATAATCCATAAAATAGATGTGCTTAAAACTCCACCCTATATTTTAAATGCCTACAATTGACTTTTTGTTTCTTTTCCTCTGAACAAATGTAAAAGTATGTTTTACACCTGAAGTAAAACATGGTAAAATACCATGCATAAAGGTATGAAGTGTAGACCATAATGAAGACTTCAAATAACATCTGTTTTCTATTCCTCCCCTCTTTTATGCTCCTAACACCCATTTTTAAACCTTGAATCAAGTATTTCCCAAAGAAATCAAAGACAAGTCTAATGTCTTTTATATACTGCAGTTATATCTGAAACAAAAAAGTGACAGTATTAACAAGCAACTTAAACACTGGACAAGTTTATTCTTATATTGAAATGAACCACCCAAAGTTGGGACTGGAAGGGAGAAAAAATCCAAAAAAACTAGGTATATTGGAAATGTCATTGTCTTTCACCCTTAATGAAGCAAAGCAGTTTTAGTAAATAATACCGCTAATGAAAATCCTCCTTAATAAATTCAGCATTACCCTTTAGCTTCCTCCATTGTACATCGCTTCAAACTTTAACTATGTGGCAAGTCATACTCCTTGTCATCCATTTTCACTGTCACATTTTCAACAACAGTTTCTGACATTTCTACTAGTTTTGTAGCTTGCATCTTTTTGGTTCTTCTCCCGCCTCTTGACATTTCTTTCCACTTCCTCCATACATCTTCCTCACAATCACAAATTATTCTATTTTTCAAAATACCAGTGAAGCAGTCTCTTTTGCTCAACTAACAATTCACAGAATACTGGGAAAGAAAGTAGCAGGGCTGAAGAGCAGCAAAGCTTGCTGTAAACAAAAAATAAATAAAAGCTGCAAAGCTCATGTCACCACACATTACTGACCTGCCATCATGAGGTTTCTTCTCTTTGCATGTTAGAGGTTTCAAACCTGGTTTCAAACCTCTTATTCTCTCTCTGCTCCTTGATTTGCTATCAGAGGTTCTGATAACAGTATCTTTTCCTTCATTACTTGTTATGACTGGAGAAAATTCTAAATCCTGATGAAAAAGGATCTTTCTTTATCTCACCTAGCAACTTCTGAACTGACAAATGCATTCTGTATCTTAACTTCATTTTCAGGAAACAGTTAATCCAGGTTTTAAAATATTCTTACGATCTCTAATAAAAATAAAATTATTCCTGTATTTCTTCCTTCATTTTTCCTATCGTCTAGAAGGACCTCATGATAGCTAGAACTGCTGTCTCTCATGTATCACATAAAACCCTGACTCTCTACAGATTACAGATATTTGTGTACATCACCCAGTCCCAAAAGCAGAAAAGATAAGTTATACCTTGAAGTTTCATTTTTAAAGTCGTTTTGGAGGATGCTAAAATTCCAACGGACTGAGTAGCATATGTATGTTTACTCTTACCATTTAATCTGCACAAGAACTGCAAGTTTGGCTTATTCACCAAATGGTAAATTTCTGGTGCCTATTTCAGAAGGATCATCTTACCTTTACAGTTTCGCTTAAGACTTGGTTTTTATCTGCTTCTTCACTGGAGTGCAATTCTAGTTTATTATTTAACTCCTGTAGCTGTTGTGCTTGTTCATTCAAAAGCACTTGTGCCTGATGCTCCCGATGTAATGCATTATTTAATTCTTCACATGCGCTTTCAAACTTCTCATGGGTGATCAATTTCTGATAAGGCAAATAAATTGTGTTTTATTGTGTAACTGTATTCACTTGTTTACATGCTTGACTTTCAGAGTTTCATTTGAAAACATATCAAATTCTAAAACAAAAGTGTGCTAAAGATGAATATTTGGGTTTTTTAACATGAAGACAGATCACTGAATAATTGACTGTATTCTTTCAAAAAAGCATTCAGAGTACTGTAAACAGTACATATTCATTATTCTATTAAAATCAGCACCCTAGCTTGTAAAGAATCAGTACTTAGAAGAAAATATGCAGATCCACATTCCACATTTCAGTGCATATCTTGTAAACAAAACGTCTTCCTGGGCTCTTTCTCCCCTCTCCAAAATGTTCCAGAAAGAAGGAATAATTTTTAAATCACCATCTACATTTCAACAACAATCTAAAATACAATTTCATCTAACTGTCCCAGAACTGTAAGGGAATAAAACCCATTAAGAACAAAACTGAAGATGATTAGATCTAACCTTGTCCATTTGAGTTTTAAAAAAAAAAAATAGTTAAAAAATAAAAATCCATTTTACCAGCTGCAAAGTAGAATGTTTGTGAAATCACCTAAAAAATATTCCCTGCTTGGAAATGTTTTGATTGGGACACACTGACAGGTCTACCAACTATGCCTCAGAAACAGCTACAGAAATGCTGCTCGTTCTGGGACATGACTGTTTCAGTTACACTGTGCACCTGTAAAGCATGTGTAAGAATCCTTATCCATTCACTTTCTCAGCTAGCTCAAATGTAAGCTCAATCCTGAATGAAACCTATACAAAATATGCATAGGAGGAAAGGTGACAAATGAACCTACTGCATGCTAAAACAAGACAAGTTTCTTCCCCTCCATTAAGAACTGAAGGCACAGTTTCATGAGTATGACAGGGAACAAACTGATACCCCACAAAATGGCATGAATCCCTTAAACACTGTGTTCATTACTCGCTACACTGTGGCTTCAAGTAGTTAAAGAATCTTTTTGTTGTCTCTTCTCATTCCTGACAGACAGTGCTATTTATGGGTTAGTAAACCCATAAGGTTTAAGTTAATCACTCAGCGGCAGCAAAGGGTGCATACGTGCTACTGAGAATGTAGTAGAGGTCTTTTTTTTTTCTTTGCCATAAACTTATTCTTCAGGGAAACAACCACACCAAGATTTGCACACTAAGACTAGCTTGAGATACAACCCACACTCAAAAGATACAGTAAAATGTCTATCATAGTATTCAGCAATATCCATGTAGAGTTTAAAATACATTTATGCTTTATGAACTTCTCATGGACACACTTACCAGATATCCTCATGACAGCTGGGTATGTGAAACCTACAAATGCTAGGGTGTATGTATCACACCAACACTTTCAACACAACCTGGGTTACCGAACACTAAACATATAGTTTACACAAAATGCTCTTTTTACGAGTCAGAGAAACTCCAGTGGAAAGAAGATTTTTCTAAATAGATCTGCTTTACAGTTAAGTGACATTTACAAGGCAAGTTTTGTGGAAAATTCTGTTAATGTAAGATTGATTTTACACTTGTTCTTCAAACGAGACATCAAAAAAATGTGTAAAAAGGAGGATCTCTTGTAAGCAGTCTCCTCTAAATTAAATATACTTACAGATTGCTTAAACATATTTAATTGCTTTTGCAGGCTCTGGACTTTTTCAGCTTCTTTTTTCATCTCACTGAAATTCCATTTAAATTCTGCAAGTTTTAGGCGCAGTGAACGGCGTTCCACTTCTGCTGTATGAAGTCTTTGTGTAAATTCAAATATCTGCTTTTGCAAGGATGCTATACTTTTCTGTTAGTAAACAGAAACAAAATAATATGCTATAAACTGTGCTATTTTAGCAATAAAAACAATCACACTGAATACACAAGCAAACTAGATAAAGCTGTCATTTTGTCGTCCACCTCTAAAAGACACATGTGAGTGCAAGAATGTGAATGTGTTTTGTGTACTGTTGAGGATTACTGAAAATTCTGTTTTCAAGGAAGTACCTGTTTTCATGTAAAGCCCACAATAAAAGACAGATTATGTGAGAAAAATTTTATCCTTTCATTTTGGTTAAAGAGAAGATGGTTATCAAACTTTACAGGTTTGTTCTTATAAAGCAAATACAATTTTGATAGAACGTTAAAAAAATCTTTTTCTTAGATGTATCAAATCTCTTCTTAAATTCTTTGACAATAGAAGACTATTAAGAGCCTAACGCTTTTGGGTGTTGCAAATCAATTTCTGATTCTCTATGGAGTTGACTTCAATGTAATGGACTCATAAACAACCTGAAACAAAATTAACAGTACTATCAAGACAGCTTCACCATAACACTTAAGCTGTGAACCTCTCTGTGAACCTACTGTTACAAGTAGCACTATAAATAAGCATACCATAATGGGTAGTCTGTCACACAATCCAGCTTCCAGGGCCTGAGTATTTATTTTATGAAGTCCATGAGCCAGTCTCTGTACCAAGGAGTTTTTCTCCAGGTAAGTAATGCTCCTTCTGCTGTCTAATGGAACAGTCTCCATTATTACATTCAGCTTGTCCATAAGTTTTGAAAAGGAGTTCCTGGCTGCATTTACAAGTAAGTGTTCAGAAAGCCAGGGCTTTGGATCTTTAAGAAACAACAACAGAGAAACGTCATGGAATTTATCAGTTTTGGGGGTTTTCTTCAGTGGAAAAAAGCAACAACAGTAAATAGCATCTTTAAAATACTCAGTAGGAAATTTCCATTAATAAGTAGAAGATTGAGCTCACAGGAATAGCTCAGAGAGACTTTCAGACAAATTCTGTATTTAGCAATGAACACTCAAGTCCTATCAATTTTTGGACAGAAGGGTAGGACAGGATTCTAAGAATAGGATTTGTTTGTCAAAGAATAATTTTCTAGTTATTTTTATATTCTCCTCCAATGCTATGCCTTCTCAAGTCTTTCTTGAATGTCCTGATTTTGTAATTCAGAAAACATGTAAGATGGATGCAAGTAAATGCAAGCCAGGGCAAGATGTCAGATGTGATAGCACACGGCAAATTACTTTATTGCAATATTTACAATGCAAATTTCTGAGGGTTTCCTGACTCTTCTTCCCTCCCCTATATAGATGTCTAAATCATTTGCTGTTCAAAATTAGTGAGGCTTGGTACCTTAATGCCATACTATTTATATTCTGAGACAAGAGAATATAATTTACCTTATTTCAAGGCAATTAAAATTTTACAGCTACAATTACTTATTTCCCCACAGGATTTTGGTAATCATCCTTCTCATATAATGGACTTAAGGCCCCAGCACACCCAACATGTCCTGCTTACTGCTAGATTCGTCAGGTCTGTAATTAATAATTGTGTTTAATGTTGATAAATAAAATTGTCAGTGCTCCTTCCACTAATTGGTATTCCAGATAACAGTTAATAGGTTTATTTATGCCTTAATAAAAGTCTTGTAATTTAGTTTTCCCTCTGCTAGGCAGGTCTTAATCTGTCATTACTTGTCTTATGATACTATCAGTGTAAGATGACAAGCATGGAAGAGCTTATTTACATTCAGTAGTACAGCAGATCTCCTGTTGCTGCAGTGAATTAAAATATTTACTTAAGAGTATAAACAGAAAAAAATTACTATAGCTTTTTTAAGTTAAAGAGTTTCTTTTTACAGATTGTGAGGATAATGCCAAAGGTTCAAAGCAAACGAAACTTAATTATTGGTATCTTTAGATTATGATTCTTATAATAAATAATCAATTACACGTGTGATAAAATTTATCTGTAAGCAAACAAAAAAAAGGCACAAGATAAACTCATAGTCTCTGTCAGAGCCATTCTCCTGCATGGTTTCAAAATACTGCTATTCCAATAACTCCGGTGCTTTGCTAAAGTACCATTTTTTAGTACATGCTCTCCATAGCCCCAGCTAGTAGTAAATCTGGCTTTATGTTTAATATAGCACTCTTTCCATTCATCTTTAAAGCTAAAAAGCTAAAAATCTTACCCAGCATTGTTATCTTTATCTATAAAAACACTCTTTGAAATAAAAAAAAATAATAAATTCTTATTCAGAAGAAACTGCGACTGCAATGCTCTGTCTACTTTTAAAAAATTTGGTTTAAATAAAAGAGAAAGCCAAGGGTCCTCTCTTTTATTTATGTTGATTCCCTATTACTAATCATTTACTTAAAAGATAAGCTACTTTCAATATTTTAACAAATCATCCTGTCCTACCTTTCAGTTTCAATCTCTTTTCTCCAGTAAAGATGCATTCGCTAATTTTTAGTTAATAAAAATAGAATTAAACTAAAAATTAAAACCAGAACATTTGTATTGCCTTCTACATTAAATGATACCAAAACCTTCTAAAAAAACTTCTTCTTTATCATGATTTTTGGTAAATACCAGGACAAGAATACTGTCAATGACCTCCTGTTCTTTCATTTTTCCTAGTATTTCCAGCTGGTATCTCATTTTACACAAGATTGTTTTTGCCTGCCAGAAACGGCAGTGTTTCTCCATACATGCAGTACCTAGGATGGTAGCCTCTTTACCTATGTCTAGAACCTCTAGTTTAACTGTATTAAAAATAAATTAAAAATAATAGTTCAGGCAATTGTTTTGTAGCATTTTGAAATGATTGTTCTACTTCATAACCAAATTATTCTTAGCATCTACAACTTTATGTAATTTCTTGGGCTGGGGAATAAGAATGCAAATTATCACTTCTGTTTTTGTTTTTTCTTTTTTTTTTTTTTTTTTTTTTATGAAGAGCATTTTTGGAGTAAATACATATAAATATGTTAAGCAAGGCACTGATTGCTTTGAAAAATGAAGTGAGAATATAATGCAATTCCACAAAAAACTGTGTGTAATTACTGGGAAGTAAATACATGGGTTGAGTGTATACATTTTAAGTACCTGCCCACAAAGGACCAAGAAATTACAATACAAGCATTATGTACCTTGCAATGTGTGTAAGAAATTATTAACAATTACACGAAGAGCAATTAATTTCTACATTGAAGAAATAGGGAAAAAAGAAAGTGTCAAACTTCACTAACATGAAGAAAATTCTTGCTTACACCATTTTGATGAAACAGAACAGTTAGCAGGATGAACTTACTAGTAGTACAGCAAAAGACTAAAATTTTCACACTAAGCTTCAAATGCTTTGTGCATGTAACAGTTGATGATGTTCGTATTCAAAAAGCTTGACCTTTACTTTCTCTGGTTTATCACAGTACAGATTCTGTTCAAATGAACCTACAAAACTAACATTACAAAAAACCAGAACAAACCAAAACAAAAACCCCCAACACTTTAGCAAACTTGTATTCAAATTGAAGGTAAAAGATCATCCCAAGACATGCCAGAATGAGAACCAAACTAATGAACAGTGTGAAGTGAAACGATCATGAATGTCAAACCAAACCAAATTTTTTAAAAGCCAAAAGCTCCAGAAAGAGCACATAAGTCCAAAATTTCCAGTGTTACCTGAGCAATCTGTATTTGGTCTCTTTCAGCTGCCTCACGTGGTTTCTGAGAACCTAGCCATCTTTAACAGTAATTTTTAAGAACCAAACCATGCCACATTATAGATCCAGACACCACCTTCTGTGATGTGCAGTCCAATCTGGAACTGCCATTATTTCAATATCTGAAGAGAGCAGATGCCACTCAGATTGCCTATTTATATCTAAAAAAAATTACATAACCATTTAAGTCAGATTGAAGGCTTAAATCCTATTTGAAATACGACTTACTGAACATAAAATAATTTCCTAAGTATGCAAGCTTTCTTTTAAATATATTCCTTCAGAGCCTTATCACTTCAACACTTCTGGAATTTCATGTCAAACTTTATATTATTTATTACTACTTTTTGAACCACAGATTCTTGGGAGACTTTTGATCTCATGAGCAACAGAATTCCAAGTAATACATGAAAAGTTAGATCTTGAGGTTCTGCAAAAAATTACTTAAAATAGAGATAAGCTATGAAAAAAAAAAAAAATCACCAAAGTGTGGCCATAACATTCTCAGCATGGCTTTTCCTAATTCTCAAAATGAAAACTGAGTTGAGTGTAGAGATATCAAGAGAAGTCCACCAGAATTCTCATATACTTGAATACCAGCAAAATATCATGAGGTTTAGGGTATTCTAACTAGCCACTTCAGCACATCAATGCTGCTGTAAAGTTTATCTTGATCCTTTTCAATTTGCTGTTCTTTCTCAATATTACATACAGAGGAACTCTTGCAGCAAAACCCTGCAAATATTCTGAAACACAATTCAAACTTTGTTTTTTAAGGCCATAAATTGAAGTTACTAAAAACAGGAAAGACCACCTGAAATTGAATCGAAACACATTTTAATTCAATGGCTGATTTCTGATACCAGTTTATTGAAAACAGTATCCATCAAATTCAATTGTTTTCCAGATCTGGAAATTCTAGATTAATATAAAATACAGCAGGAAATCATTTCCTTTCAGTCAGCAGCAGCAATATCCCAGGTTAAATATCTGCGGGTTTTAGGGCCTGCATGTAAGAAAAACACAGATGAAATAGGCAGAAATTACATAGATTTTCTCTATGGAAAAAAAACAGATTGAGCTTCAGTAAAATACTTTCTGAATATTAGAAAAGTGGAACAAAATAACTTGGAAGCTTGTAAATATTACTTCATTGGAAGCTTTTGAGAACAAGTTTTCAAAATATCCATTGGCATGGTATAGACGGTGGTTCTTCTATCTCACAGCAAAGCTGGCAAAACTGTTCACACACTTTTTAGAAACACTCCACATCCTTCTGTTTCTGTGACTCTATGTAGCAAAATTATAAAGTATCATATCACCAATTAAAGAAAATTAATCTGTTCCAACAATACAGCTCTCCAGAGATTTGATCCAGAATAGTTTAGATAAAATCCTAAAAATGAAAATGATGTATCTACCCTTATTATTTTTTATCTTCTACAACAAGGATATACTTCTAAAATTACCTGTTGTGTTAACAACATCCTGTAATTCAGTGACAGAACTTATTATTGCAGCAAGGAGGTTAGAACTAGTAAACCAGCTGAATGCTTCAACACAGTGAATTTGCTCCTCTTCACGACCTGTGAAACAGAATTGTAGCTAGCAATAAAACTAGGTAACTAAGAAACACTACTATCCCCTGCTCTTTCAGAAATTAACCAAAACTAGGTATACAAGCTACAAACTAGCTCTTCTTTCAAGACAATTTAAACGTATTAAATAGGCTTCCAGAACTACTAAAAGTAGTAGAAAAGTAGATGGATCTCCTAGTTTGGGAAACATTTTTGATACCATTTATCCTTGCAGGGGGAAGCATGCAAGGTAACAGGAAGGGACAGGAAGACTACATAATCTCTAAAGAAAATTTAGAAATCCTGTATTAGTATTTTCATTGAATCAGAAAGCAACTTTTCTTCATTTTTAGTAGGAAATAAGTATTAGAAGTTATTAAAAAACAAGAGGAAGCACCTTTTCAAAAATGTACTGATGGCTAATCATTTAGGAACATTACACTGTATTTACAATAGAGAATGTGGTAGCACCTAGTTCTGAAATCTGTAATGCAAATGTCAACAATATCAAACAGTATGAGTTCACATGTGTAGTTGAAACTTTTCTTTCAATGCTTAACAGACTAAGCATTGCTTTTTTCGGGGAAATTAAATTTGTCAAGAAATCCAGAAATCACAAATCCAGAAACTACATTTATAAAAATGTCATTAAATTTGTCTTTACACTCAATTAATAACATTCCTGTTTGTTACTCACTAACCATGTAATTTGACATAACACTTATCAAAGAAGAAAACAATTTGCTTACTTGACGCATTATGCTTGCCTTTGGATTCTCCTATACAAACTAGAATTCCAATGCCCTCTTTGAAGCCATCTATCCAGGAGAAGAGGGAACTAGAAGACTGGGCTAAAACTTTAAATCTGTTAGCTGCCAAAACTGCAATCACACCTCTTCGAAATACATGAATCAAGCCTTTGAGCTTTCTTTTCTTCAGTTTTGCGTCATCTTCACTGTCTTCCTCTACATCAGAGAGTGCATGAACTAGGTTCCTAATCTCCTGGTTCACTAATTCATAAATGTTGACCTGATCCTGGAGAAGGTCCCTTTGGGAAGACATAGCACATGATCGGCCATAGAGAGGATACAGGGCACCTGCCAGTAGTGCACAGGCTGCCAGGAGAGATGAATGCTCTTTCTGAACCTGTGTTAACATATTTTTCACAGAAACATTTTCAAGGGCCAATTTATCCCGTCTTCTTTCAAGGACATAAATTTTTTCCTTGTTTTTCTCTGCTATTCTTTGGTATTCCTGGGGTAAGGGGGAAAAAAAACAACAAGCGAGAAAAAATATTAACTAGAAGATCATTTTCTAAAAATAACAAAATCATTTTTAGCTAAAGGAATTTTTTATTTCAGATTCAAATAAACCATTAAAGGAACAAAATATATTACTAATGACTGCAAAGTGTTTCACCTAACAAGCAGTTAGAGAACCAGATACATGAAAAGAATTCAATAGTACAAGGAAAATTTGCACAATCTTCAGCTAGAAATACGATAATCCACCAGTACTTCAATAGCTCACAGGACGTCTGACAGTACCTGGTTGTCCACAATACAGTTTTATGATTTGCCTTAACAATAAGCAATTGCATCCACCATTTCAAGAACAAACATTGCTTTGCAAACCAGAAATGAAAGTTTGTATAAGGGAGAGGAAAAAAAGTAAGACTCTGGAAGATAAACCTAAACAGATTGGCAGCAGCTGGGAAAGGGGAAGTAAAGGTGATCTCTTAATTACTTTGTAATCAACCCCCTACTTATATATTCACAGATTAATTAGGTCTCATACAGAATTGTTTTCAAAAGAACAGTGTAATACAGATATTTTTATTTTGACTAGTACCATTACAGATTTTTTCCAACTTGCAGAACATTTTTTATTTTCCTCTCTAAGCCCTGAAATAGGGA